CTTACTCTCATATTTCATTTTCTCCCCTCTTATTGCTTTTTTAGTTATCCTCTGATGGTTTTTAAAGGCTTCCAAATCCTGTGGCTCCCTGCTAATCTTCACCACATTACATGCTTTTTCTTTTGCCTTTATGCTGTTCCTGACTTCCCTTGTCAGCCAGGGTTGCCTCATCTTCCCCTTACTGTGTTTCTTCTTCCTTGGGATGAATTTCTGTTGTGCCTCCTGAATTACCCCCAGAAACTCCTATCATTGCTGCTCCACATTCTTTACTGAAAAGCACTGCATTAATTTACTTATATTCTTGGCAATGTTCCTTTGCAAACCCTTTCCTTAATTGTAAATTTATACAATAAGAACACAATTTCATCAATAGATAACTTGCAAAGTGAAAAAGGATTAAGCAAAACAAGCATTGAGTGATGAATTTGATTCACTTCCACCAGTGTTAAAGGTCATATGAGTACATATCTGAAATATATGTAAGTAGTATATCTGCAAAAACGTTAACACATAACCAGATGGGGTCCTTGCATCTCATGTGGCTTTCTGCATGCCAATTTTCCATCTGATCATTCTATTCTTTGAAAATGTATTTATTCCAGGCATGGGAGGAATACAGTCCAGTGCCAGCGAAGAAAGTCAGCATGTATCTACTTTAAAATTCTCACACATGGGCTTTTACTTTTGTGTACTCTTGTGTGATTCACATTCCACATGCAGTGTTTTTGTCAATCCATGCTATTCTTCAGCTCCTGATAGATTGTTAAATCTTTCGATGAAATGCACAATTCCATTTTGAAATGATATAAATCCCTGTGGTTCAAGTCTTTTCTCCCGAGACCCACTGCCATAATTGTTTCTCAACATACAACGCTCTGCATGAAACTGATGCCTAAGGACACAGCATTGAAAATGTAGCCTGTAATTATCATATTCTAATTTTGTTGGTGGTTTAATTTGCTCTGATATTACATTGGCCAGATTGTTGCAGTGGCTAAGAACAAAAGAAATAGGAACAGACATTCATCAATTTCTAAGATTACCCATTGATTGTCTCAATAGTGCATCTTCTGGAAAAGTATAGAACCACAGATGGCAACTTGTGATTATTCATATTATTACATAATTGTGTAGACTCTAGAAGTTGGACTCCATTACAGTGATGAAATGACAGTGAAACTCCCCAGGCTTCCTGTCCATCCTTGACCTGTGATCCCATAAAATTGAAACTTACAGAATACTGAATGGCCTGGACAGAGTGGATGTTGGGAAGATGCTTCCATTGGTAGGCGAGACAAGGATCCGAGGGCACAGCCTTTGATAAAGAGAAGACCTTTTAGATCGGAGATAAGGAGAAACTTCTTCAGCCAAAGAGTGGTGAATCTATGGAATTCACTACCACAGAAGGCTGTGGAAGCCAAGTCATTGAGTATATTTAAGATGGAGATAGATAGGTTCTTGATTATCAACGGGATCAAGGGTTACGGGGAGAAAGCAAGAGAATGGGGTTGAGAAACTTATCAGCCATGATTGAATGGCGGAGCAGACTCGATGGGCTGAATGCCCTAATGTCTTATGGTCTTACAGTCTTACGGTCTTATAAAATGGTAGATGGGAAAGGTACCCTCTTGGTTGCTCACCCTTCAGCTTGTTCAGGCTATATTTGGCACCAATTTCAAACATAAAGCCCTTCAAAGTCCTCAACTTCCTCAGTCAGAGTTCCAGCTCCATTTCTTTAAGGACTTAGCCACTGATTTATATCTGTTAGCAGCTCAGGACCCTCAGGAACAACCCAGTGCACAGTTTGGCCAGAACCGGTCAATCAATTCTTTCAAAATGACCGAGGCAGTGTCAGCACATTTTATCTATCATCACAGCTCCCAGGTACAACCTTTATATTCACCTTTCCTCAATTACTTTCATTGCACCATGAGAATCTGAGCTACAACAGGTGGACATCATTTTATCTGGTTTTAATCAGCTTCGAATCTGAAGTATCCATTTCAGTTTTAGATTTAGTTTTCTAAGAAACCTGAAGGTTCAAATTCTCTTGCAGTGAGGGTCAGACCCTAAACTCCTACTTTGAAACCATGATTCCATTGCAATATGTTGCGTGCTTTGGAATTGTTTGAATATTCTTATTATAGTAATTTACTCACTAGAGCATATGTTGAGATATAAATATGATACCTATCATGAGGTTAGGTATTGAGTCAATTGGAGTTTTCCAGATTAAGATAAGTATAGTGGTAAGGTTATCTAGGTAAATTGCAAAAAAGCATGAAATGGATCTGGGGTGTAAACCAACCAGAATCTAACTAAACTGCAGAGCAGATCCAATGGGCAATATACAGCAGAAACTCCTGCCCCTGCACTTCCTCTCTCACCTCCATCCAGGGCCCCAGACAAACTTTCCAAATCCGACAGGGTTCAGCTGTATGTCCTCCAACCTGGTCTACTATAACTGTTGCTCCCGATATGGCCTCCTCTACATCGGTGAGACCAAGCTCAGACTCGGTGGCTGATTCACGGTGCATCTGCATTCTGTACACTATAATCAACAACACCTACGAGTTGTCAACCATTTTATCTCCCCCTCCCAATCCCTGGGCAACACATCCATCCTGGGCCTCCACCAGTGTCACAATGAGCCACCCGCAAACTGGAGAAGCAACACCTCATATTCCACCTCAGGAGCCTACAGCCCGATGGCCACAACATGGAATTCACCAGTTTTAAAATCTCCCCACACCCGGCCTCATCCCATTTCCAACCCTCCCTGTTATCCCCGCCTCCTTGAACTGACACAACCTGTCCACCCTCTTCCCCACCTATCTGCCTGAACCTTCCCATGACCAATCCCCACCACTGCCTACCTGCACTCACCTATCACTATCCCACCGACCTTCCCCAGTACCACCCCTCCTCCCTCTATCTATTTCTGAGCTCCCTTCCCCCTCCCCAGTCCTGATGAAGGATCTCGACCCAAAACGTCCACTTTCCTGCTCCTCTGATGCTGCCTGACCTGCTGTATTTCTCCAGCTCCATTCTGTGTTGTCTCTGACTCCAGCATCTGCGGTTCTTGCTATCTCCCAATGGGCAGAATATCCTACTTCTGTTCCTTTATATTCCTAATCAGAGCAACATCTGACATAGGAGATCCTACAACTTATTATTCCACAAGATTCAGGACAGTGTGGGTTTCTGTGGTTATATACTTTTTTTCTAAGAGGTGACTTCTTATTTTCCTTTCTACCAGTTAAACTATTCAAAGTATAACTTCACAACATCTAAGATTTATGAGTTTTCTGTTTATTGGGTATTAATTATTGCATTGAATAACATTGTAATAAATGTATCATAGAATCGCCACATTGTATATGTAGGCCCTTTGGCCCAGCGAGTCCACAGTGACCCTCCGAACAGCATCCCACCCAGACCCACTCTCTGACCCTAACCATGTAACCCTGCATTTCCCATGGCTAATCCACCTAACCAACACATCCTTGGACACAATAGGCAATTTAGCATGGCCAATTCTCCCAGAGAAAATTGACGCAGACAGGGGAGAACGTGCAAACTCCACACAGTTACCCAAGGGTGGAATTGAACTCAAGTCAATGGCGCTGTGAGGCAGCACTGCTCACCAGTACATTATGCCCTGATACCATACCTGAAGAGCTGAATTCCAGAGGTTGAGATGAGAGTGACAGACAGCCCTTCATATCAAGGCTGTTTTCCACCAAGTGTGGCATCAAGGAGTGCTGGCAAAGCTGGAATCAATGGGTATCAGGGGCAAACTCTCTGGTGGTTGGAGTCATACCTGACACAAGGAAGATAGTTGTGGTTGTTAGAGGTCAGTCATCTCAGCTTCGGGACATCTCTACAGAAGATCCTCAGGGGAGTGTCCAGGGTCCAACCATCTTCAGCTGCTTCTTCAACGACCTTCCCTCCATCATAAGGTCAGAAGTAGGAATGTTCAGCAATGACTCCACAATGTTCAACACCATTTGCGACTCCTCAGATACTGAAGCACTCCATGTTCAAATGCAATAAGTACTGGACAATATTCAGGCTTGGGCTGACAAGTGGCAGGTAACATTTGAGCCACACAAATGCCAGGCTACGACCATCACCAATAAGAGACAATCTAACCACCACCCTTTTTAATTCAATGGTGTTACCATCACTGAAACCCCCACTATCAACATCCTAGGGGTTATCACTGACCAGAAACTTAACTGGACTCACCACATAAATACAATGGCTACAACAGCAGGTCAGAGGCTAGGAATACTACAGATACTCACCTCCGGACTCCCCAGAGCCTGTCCATTGTCAACAAGGCACAAGTCAGTAGTGTGATGGAATACTCCCCACTTGCCTGGATGAGTGCAGCCCCAACAACATTCAAGAAGCCGGACACCATCAGGACAAAGCAGCCGTTTGATTAACACTGCATCCACCAGCTTTCACTACCTTCACCACCGACGCTCAGTAGCAGCAGTGTGTACTATCTACAAGATGCACTGCAGAACTTCACCAAAAGATCCTCAGACAGCACCTTCCAAACTCACGACCACTTCCATCTAGAAGGACAAGGGCAGTAGATACATGGGAACACTACCAACTTCAAGTTCCCCTACAATCTGTCCATCATCGCGTCTTCGAGATATATCACCGTTCATTCACGTCACTGGGTCAAAATCCTGTAAGTCCCTCTCTAATAGCATTGTGGGGCAACCTACAGCAGGTGGACTGCAGCAGTTCAAGAAGGCAGCTCACCCCACCACCTTCTCAAGGGCAACTAGGGATGGTTAATAAATGCTGGCACAGCTAGCCATGTCCACAACCCAAAAATGAATAAAATAAAGTACCTGCAATTTATAATGTACTTGGTTTTGAATCTGCAGGAGGTGCTTCTAAGCTGGATACATCTTAAATCAATCACACCAATCAGATAATTAATATAAATTAGAAGCGACATCACAACATCTTACCAGATTAGGAGACAGCAGTGACTGGAAGTTAAAGAGGATCCCTACGTTGGCTATTTGCTCCAACCATTTTCTACTGGATTCCTGTGTCTCAGTTTCATATTGGCTGTTGGTGTCATACATCTGATGTAATGCAGCTAATAACTGTTCTGAGAAAGTGCAAACTGTAGCCACCAAACTTTGACAAAACACCATATCTTTCCTGAGTTGAATTTCAGTATCTGTGGATTAAAAAAAACATAAACAGTAAGAAAAAGATGATAAAACTGAAAAAAAAGACCATTAAACATTTTCTTAGTTTTATTTTCATTTTAAAAACAAGCTAACTTGCCTCCAAAAGTTAAATTTATGCCAGCCTTACAATGTGATTCAATGCAATATTTAATTCTCTACAAGCAGAGAATCATTAATAAAGAAATTAAATGGTAGTAGACAGTGAAGAAGGTTATCTAAGATTACAATCAGCTCACACTTATACAATTAAATATCAGCAATTCAACTTCCATGGCAATGCTGATAGGCTCTCTAGTTTAACTTTGCCAAATGAGTCCACTACAAACAGTCTTTATGTAGAGATACTCTACTGTGAACAAGCATAGCACAATCCAGTAATGCAAACAAGTTAAGAAGTGCATTAGAAATAATCCACTGCTATCAAAAGTGTTGGACATGGTATTTTGTGGCAATATCATAGGAACAACTTCAGAACTGAAGCCATATGTCACCCAGGAGCTAGAACTATCCATACAAACAGGATGTCTCGAATGGGTGAATGAGGGTCATCATACCAACACAGATAAGGAAATGCGTTTTTTTTTCTTCATTCATTCACAGAATGAGGTCATCGCTGGCTAGGCAGCATTTAACGCTCATCCCTAATTGCCCAGAGGGCAGTTAAGAGTCAACCACATTGCTGTGGGTCTGGAGTCACATGTAGGTCAGACCAGGTAATGATAGCAGTTTCCTTCCCTAAAGGACCTTAGTGAACCTGATGGGTTTTTCCTCTAACAATCAATAATGAATTCACAATCATCATTAGATTCTTAATTCCAGATATTTATTGAATTCAAATCCCACTATCTGCCGTGGCAGGACTAGAACCCGGGTCCCCAGGATGTTATCTGGGTCAACAGTCCAGCAATAATATCACTAGGCCATCACCTTTCCTAATTAAATCAGTTACACAAAGGTCACTGTGGTACTGTCAGAACGAAGGTGACAGCCACAAGTTATTTCTGGTTGTCAGGGCTTGACTCTGAAATCAAGGAGAAGGTGGGAATATGTGTAGCTTGCACAAGAGTTCATAACCTACCTCCAGGGGGAGGCAAAGGCCCAGAATTACTATCACTGGACTGTTAATCCAAAGACCCAGGCAATGTTCTTGGGACCCCGGTTCAAATTCCACCACGGCAGATGGTGAAATTTGAATTCAATAAAAATCTGGAATTAAAAATCTAACAATGACAATGAATCCATTGCTGATTGTCAGGGGGAAAATCCCATCTAATGTCCTTTAGGGAAGGAAACTGCCATCATTACCTAGTCCGGCCTACATGTGACTCCAGACCCTCAGCAATGTGGTGGATGCTTAACTGCCCTCTGGGCGATTAAGGGATAGGCAATAAATGCTGACCTAGCCAGTGATGCCCTCATCCTGTGAATGAATACGAAAAATTAGTGATGAACACCTCTTTAATAAAGCTCCTCCTGTTGTTAAACACTTCAACCTCTAGTCCTTCTTGAAGCCTATCAACACTTGGAGAAAATTGCACCCTACTGACTCTGCTTAGATTCTTCACATTTTTGAATACCTCTATAACAGATCTCCTTTTGACATATCCTTTCGGAGGAGAACAGCTCCACCATCTGAAGTCTATCTACCTAGCTGAAGTCCTTCTTTGCAGCAATCGTTTTTGTAAACCTTTGCTGCAGCTTCTCTAAACCTTTTACATCCTTCTTAAAGTGCAATGCCCAGAATTGGATATTATTCCCCAGTTGAGACAAAACCAATATTTTAAGATAGTTCATCATAACCTCATCGCTTTTGTACCTACATATAAAAGGCTAGGATCCTGTAAGCCTTTTTACCTAATTTCTCAACTTGGTGATTTTCTCAATACATAAAACAGAAAGCATATCAACAAAGAAAAAAGTCTGCTTACTTTTATTTGCTATTTTAACCTTTAATCTAACATTCAACCTTTACAAATAAACTTCTGTTGACCTACAGCTATGTTATATAGCATACTGTCAACTCAAATTAGTTCACATCATCCAATCTTTTGCTTTTTGGCTGTTTTTGATTTTTCTTTTCTTTGATATTTGCATCTCTTTTTTTTCTGTTCTTTGTTTCTCCCTTTCTGTTTCTCAGTTCTTGTTTTTGTCCTTTTCTTCTGCTGTTCCTTTCCTGCTTGCTTTCTCAGTTTCTTTACCAATTTGTTCCACTTGTTAATGCCAGTGTCCAATTATGCCCGTCCTGCGTATTTTATGCGTTTGCCAACCTTACCATCCCTGTCTTAGTGCTTGATCCTCTTTTATTTTCATGTTACATTATGTAAGAAGTGTGTCAGAGAAAAAAAATGCACCAACCTCTGAAAACTCACAAAACTACACTGACAAAACCAAAAATACCATATGTGCATCAGCATTGCTGCAACAGACAGCTATAGCAATAAAAAAGATATCATTCATCAGAATCAGCTCCATGGAAAATCTATAAACCACATTGTAATTTGCGCTTCCTATCAATTTATATTTGCTCTTTTGATCACAAAATATACATTATACTGAACATCAACAAAATAAAATAAAATTGTGAGTTGCAACTGAGAACTAATGCATTAAAAAAATACAATTCTGCTGACTCCTGGGCTAGCATCAGTGAACATCGTTGAGAAGAAGCACTGTCCCAACTCCTTAGGCATTATTTGTTGGTACTGAATAAATTGGCTGATTTTACACTGCAGCAAAACTGAGTTTCCCCTCCTCCCTTCCAGCATCAGTCCTTCACTTTTACTTTCGCAAGGAATTTAGACAGGAAAATCAGACAGATTGAATTACAGTAACTATTCAAGGGATCAACAGTACAAGGATTTTCCATGGCACCCGAAGGGCCAATAAATTACACCCGTTCTGAATGAAAGCTTTGCAATAGTTGAAAGCAACAGAACCAGCACTTGAGAAATAACCTGCTAAAATGTGATAAGCTGGTTCAGCACTTCTGCAAACAGTGAAAGAATGTGCAACGAATACCACTTTTTTGTATTGAAAATCATAGTTTCATTAGGTCAGTGAGAGTAGGAACAGTGAATTCAACACAAAAACAGAAATTGCTGGAAAAGCTCAGCAGGTCTGGCAGCATCTGTGGAGAGAAATTCGAGTTAACGTTTTGGGTTGAGTGACCCTTCCTCAGAACAGTGAATTATACGGTTGTATCCAAAATGAAATGAAGAGTCACCAAACTCAAAACGTTAACTCTGCTTTCTTCCCACAGATTCTGCCAGATATGCTGAGCTTTCCCCAGCAATTTCTGTCTTTGTTTCTGGTCTCCAAACTGTGAGGCCTTGAAGGGAGCCAAATTCTGGAACATGAAGACGCATTCTGATCTTGATTCTCTTTGAGTTAACCTATTGACCTCCCTCAGCAGAACGTAGTTATTTCCTCACGACAATCAAGAATGGATCGACCTGTCACTCTTTTTTTAATCAGAATTTTCAATGACTTAGTTTAGCACCACAAATCCTTCTATGGTGAAGCTTTTAAAAGATTGCTTTCCATGATTTGTCAGTGTCAAGCAGAAGTAGCATTAGAATGCTTCCTTGGTTACCAGAATTCAATAGGTTGTAATGAAATTCCCCAACAATCCTGCAGTTTTGTATCACATTTTGATGCAGTTGTTGAAGTACAATGTGCCAATAGACTGTTATTATTCCAGTTCCTTTAATAGGCAGAGGGATTTGGGAGTCCTTCTACAGGAATCACAAAAAGCTGGTATCCAAGTTCAGTAAGTAAGAGGGAAGACAAATGGGACGTTGGTATTTATTTCAAATGGAATGGAGTATGAGATTAGGGAGGTTTTTCCAAAACCATGCAAGGCACGAGTCAGACCACAGTTGGAATACGGTGAACAGTTTTTGTCCCCTAAGGAAAGCTATCCTGGCATTGGGAGCAGTCTAGAGAAGGTTCACAATGTTGATCCCAGGTATGGAGAGATTGTCTGATGAAGAGAGGTTAAGTTAGACCTCTACTCATTGGAGTTTAGAAGAATGAGAAGTGACCTTATTGAAACATAGGAAAATGTGGAGAACTTGTTTCCCCTGTGGGAAAGCATAGGACCAGAGGGCATAATTTCAGACTAAGGGGTTGTCCATTTAAAACAGAAATAAGGTGGAATTTCTTCTGAGTGTTGTGCAGAATTCTTTACCACAGAGGGCTTTTGAGGCTGGATCATGATGTATGTTCAAGACTGAGACAGACCGATTTTTAATCAGAAGGGGAATCAAGGGTTTTGGAGAAGTGGAGACAGGAAAGTGGAATTGGGAATTATCGGATCTCACTGCATGGCAGAACAGACTGGATGGCCTGAAGTGTTTTAAGATTTATTTTGAAAACAAACTTGCATCCCAAAGTGGGATCAAACCTAAAGGTCTGAAAATAAGGCTTCTGTTACACTCTACTCTTCAAGCATGATCACCACTTACAGGAGCATTAAATTACTCTGATACTAACAGGATGTGCCTTACCTTCAACATATATAAAAGACCATGAATTATTTACAACCTGCTCTGTAGCACAATCTGATTTATCTTAGTTCTGATACATACATCCTCTCAAATAACTTGTTCCAATTGAATGAGTTATGGCATTACCTGTATGTTCAAGGAGAGCCAGGAATACTCGTGTCTTCACCTCTGGAAGAAAAAACAATTTGATTCTAAAGGGCACTTTGGGAGAGAAGCATTACAATCCTCATACACGACTACACACATTGCAACATAACAAACAGGTATCTACACAAATCTCCCAATATAGGGGATCCAATAGCCTAGTGGTACTATCACTAGACTATTAATCCAGAAACTCAGCTAATGTTCTGGGGACCTGGCTTCAAACCCTTCAATAAATGCTGGCCTAGCCAGAGTTGCTCACATCCCATGAGTGAATATATATATAAAAACAAATCAATGTCCTGAAGGCCAGTCAGGCCAATGAATCGATGCCCGCTCTCTGTCGAACAGTCTGTTATATTTCCTGATCTATTCCCACAGTCCTGCATGGAATGTATGTCAAGGGTCATTCAAGTTCCTTTAAAATCACTGCCATCATCTGCTTCCACCCTTAGAGATTACCAGGTAATTAGTAGCTGTTACATTAAAAATAAATCCTTCATTACAGGGGCATGTAAGGGGCATAAGATTTAATAGGAGATGTGAGGAAAAGCTTTCTCACCCGGGATAGGGGGAATCTGAACTCACTTTCTGTAATGGTGGTAGAGGCAGAAATCCTCATCATATTGAAGAAGTATTTAGATGTGCACTTGTGATGCCAAGGCAATGGGCCAAGTGCTGGAAAATGGGATTAGAATAGTTAAGTGATTGTTCTTGACCAGCGTAGATTCAATGGGCCGAAGAGCCTTTTATGTGCTGTGGACCTCTCTGACTCTATGACACATTCTCCCTGTATCTCTGACCCTACTACTGTGTCAGCAAAGCTTATAGAATAGCTTTTAACTATTTCTAGCTCAGAAATCTGTCGACCACTATTAAAATCTCCCTTCAATCTATTCTGCTCCAAGTAGAAGACTCAAGTCTCTCCATTTTGACATTGTAGTCACAATCCTTCATCATTGGAACCAATCCAGTAAAGCCACACATTTTTACTGGGAAAGCTCACCAAATCCATGGATCAAACAACACTTTTTGATTATGAAAATATAAGATATTACATGAAATATAATAACTGGTTAACATGCACAGTCAGTAATATCCCTCTAAAAACCTAAAAATACAAACATAAATGCATGCATTTTAGGAAAACTGAACAAAAACAGATGTATTTTTCTGAAGATGTGCATTGTAAGAAAAGAAATGACATGAAGATTACTCTTGAAAGTGAAAAGGATAAGGTGTTAAATGCTCTGAAGTTGATAGTTCAGAGGTTCTGACACATGTGGTCAATTCACCAATCACACAGGGCTATCTCTGGAGTCTTGACAGATAGAATTTGCTCAGGAAAAATGATATGGGGAAGTTACTGCAATCACTCCTCCAGGAGAACCAATAGGTTTCATTCTCAACTCACTAAGAGACTTTTTCAGAAATAAGAAAGATCAACTCGGCAGCTCAGACTCACAGGCTTCTTGTTCCCCAAATAATTCTAGGTTCCAGAGCACTATCCTTCCATCTATTGTTCAAACAGCTCCAGGCAAGGTCTGCAGCAAAACAAGGGGTTAACCTGCAACATGATTTCTAGGCAGCCATGTTAAAAAAAAATCTCCATTATCCATACTGACCATTCAAATAACACTTTTAAAGATACCAGTCTAAGTATATCCACAAACTGGTTGAGTAAAATAGCTCTGCAACTATCTAGAATGTAAGCTTTCCAAGAGTGATTAAATATGAAGTGTCTTTGTAACAAACAACGTCAGGAGAAAGTGGGTTGGGCTGCAGCAAAGTTAGCCAGTTCGGGAAAGAGGTAGTAGGCAGCCAAATGGACAGCTGGGCATCAGGACTGGATACTTTAAAGGTCTGCCTCTGAGCTATGGGGTTTTGTGCATTTAGATACTGACGGCTTCAGTATCTGAGTAGTCTCGGATGGTGTTGAACATTCTGCAGTCATCAGAAAACATCCCCATCTCCGACCTTATAATGGTGGGAAGGCCATTGATGAAGGAGCTGATGATAGTTGGGCCTGGGTCACTTCCTTGAGGAACTCCTGCAAAGATGTCCTGGAGCTGAGATGACTGATCTCCAACAACTATGACCATCTTACTTTGAACCAGCTATGACTCCAACCAGCAGAATGATTGCCCAGATTCGCACTGATTCAAATTTTGCTTGGGATCCCCTGCCACACCTGGTCAAACATGGTCTTGATGTCGAGGGCTGTCACTCTCCTACTGTTCTCCTGTGACAGCCAGGACTCTCTCCTCATAGCAGCTGAGGGTCCAGATGTTCAGCACCATCCCCCTGATTATGAGCAATTCTGCCCTGTAACATACTGTCATCTCCTGGACCCCGGAGAGTGAGGAAGGGAAATATCAGTCTTTTTTAGCTTGATGGATTCAACAGAAATATTTAAGACTACATTAGAAGCTCCGATATCCTCCCACATCCAAAGATGTGAAGGTTAGGTGGATTGGCCATGGTAAATTGCCCACAGAGTCCACGGGTATGCAGGCTAAATGGATTAAATATGGTAAACATGGAGTTACAGGGACAAGGTTAGGTCGCATGGACTGCCCTTCCTGGAGGGTCGGTACAGACTCAATGGGCTGAATGGCTTTTTTCTGCACAGTAGGTATTCAATAATTCGATAATTTTGGATGCAATGCTGTTCTTTTCAAACTTTCTTTTCTCTGTAGAGACTGAGGTATAGTTTTTTTGATATCTCAGCCATATATCTATTCAAGCATAAACATAGACCGCAAGTAATTGGGTCTATTTGAGTGAGACAGTATCACATCTGAACTTGAAGTTATAACTCTGTTGTATGTAAAAAAAAAACATATTTTCCAACACCTGACTCAAAATTGTAACCATAAGGGGCTGTTTTTAAGCCTCTGTTGCCTTGCTTCTGGTGCTGAGACCAGTTATATCATTCCTAATGCCACCTCATCGCATATTCACTTAATCAGCATAGACTGAGGACTGAACCCAGGCCCTCACAACCATCCATAGTATTTGTTGAAAAGCATATTCTACAATCACTCAAATGTAACAAGGCAAATCAATTTGATCTTTTTGACAGATAATCTTTGAAAAGGCGGCATCATTTCAGATTTTCATTTAATCCAAGATCAAAGGGTTGTACGTTTTTCAGATCTGACTATAGTACTAGTCAGAATAAAAGAATATGTCTATTCTTTGAACACTGATTTGTAAATGTCAGCCAACATAAAGAAAGATTATAAACATCTAGTACAACTTTATATTTCTGCTTAGTTGCTGTTTAAAAGCAAAATATCTCCCCAGGAGCTTCAACATTATGGTCTAAATCATAAGGAAAATTCAATCCATTTAAAATTTGAATCCAAAATAACTAAAACTGGTTACTCCGTGAAATAGGGGATCTCCATTAAATAGTAGATGGGTCACATATAAGATCCTTATGCTGTTAGAGTTGCTCATGTCCAATAAAACGACATGAATCAAATGCTATCTACTTTGATCTCCAAGTCACACTTAAATATAGTGCACACATTTACAGCGTCTAGCTCACTAGTGACTAGTAATAGTCTCCTGGTTGGGAAAATCACCCACCACGTGCACGGCAGACACTCCTGTGACTCTGCCAACGTTGTCTATCTCATACGCTGCAGGTAAAGATGCCCCGGGGCTTGGTACATTGGCAAAACCATGGAGATGCTACGACAACAGATGAATGGACACCGCGCAACAATTGCCAGACAGGAATGTTCCCTCCCTGTGGGAGTGCACTGCAGCGGTCAAGGACATTCGGCCTCGGATCTTTGGATAAACACCCTCCAAGGCAGACTTTAGGATACACAACAATGCACAGTCACTGAGCAGAGGCTGATAGGCAAGTTCGGTCCCCATGAGGACAGCATCTACCAGGATCTTGGGTTCATGTTGTGCTACAGGTGACCCCACCACACTCTCCACTCTCTCTCTCGCTCTCACACCAGCACACTCTCACACACTTATAAATCTATGGGGTTAATTTGCATTTGCAGATACACTCTATCTTGTTCAAAAAGCATACAATTTGTGGATACAGTAAGTCAGTCAATGGGGCATTTTATAAATTCCTGCTTTGGAAATAAAACCACATTCAAACACAAACAGATAATAAAAAGGGCCTCACACTAAAAGGCATTGTCTGACCTGAGAGGTCACCTCCTGTATTCATTGATAAAACCTTTAGTTATCTCTGAACATTGACTTGAAAGAAATTCGGAGAGTTACATATTAAGCAATCGAAACCTGCATCTCCTTTCTAACAAATTAAGGAATTTACAGGAGGGAGTCAGCCAGCCAATGTAGAGCTATTAAATACATTCGCATCAGTTGTATAATCATTTGATCTTTTATTTAAAAATTCTGTGTCTTGATACTTTCTCTCTCGTTATACCTGAGGAAGGGGGAACATTCCGAAAGCTTGTCGGACTATAACCTGTTGTCATGTGATTTTTGACCTGGTTTAAAATGGCACATCATTAGCCAAGAATACATGTCTCAAGGTGTCAAGCTTAGCTTCATAGGAGTTGGCAGTCTAGCACCTTCTGGCGTAAGTGTAAAGTAATTTGTTGTCAATATCAAGACATGAACAATGACAAGAAAAAATATTTCTGCAACCTTTTGAGTTGTATTTATATTCTGTGACTGTTTTGTTAGCCAATGTGTCAAATGCAGGAAAGGCAAAGATTTTTCATTTCTAACACATGCATCAACTGCAAGCTTAGGTGGCATAAATTTTGAATCATTTTCTCATGAACTGAACTGGAAGTGACATTCATGTGTTTAAAATGATAGAGATTCAATAAGATAGAAACAGCAAAACCATTTCCTAAGGGAGGAATCAAAATCAAGATGACATAATTGTAAAATTAGAGCTGGGTCATTTAGGAAACAAGCAAACATGGGTGGCACGGTGGCACAATGCTTAGCACTGCTGCCTCCCTTTGCCAGGGACCCAGGTTTTGATTCCTGCCTCAGGCGACACTCTTTGTGGAGTTGGCTTATTCTCCCCGTGTCTGCATGGGTTTCCTCCCACACTCCAAAGATGTGGAGGTTAGTTGGATTGGCTGTGCTAAATTGTCGAGGAATGTTTAGGCAAGGTGCATTAGCCATGCGAAATGCAGAGTTACAGTGATAGGGTAGGGCAGTGAGTCTGGGTGGGATGCTCTTTAGAGGGTTCGTGTGGACTTGATGGGCCGAACGACCTGCTTCCACACTGTAGGGATTTTAAGCACTCTCCGACATGGATGGTTTTGGAAATCTCAGACTCACTGTTCCAGAGAGTCTAGATGCTGGATCTACTGAAATTTTCATGACTGAAATCAATTTTTGTTCTGGGTAAACATACCAAGGGATGTGGAGTAAAGGCCTTATACTGGTGGCAAACCTCCATCATTACTCCTTGCTCCTTTTAGGTTTCCCTCATGTCTGTCTGAAATTAGATGCGAGTTAATAAATCTCCAAAGACCAGTACTGGTATTAAGACCACTTCTGCTAATTTGAGCACCACGTCATAATTTTTCTAATTCATTGGCAAATTAACCAGAAGTCCTTCCAGGATTGTTGAACATGACAGAGTTAAACCGTGGTTGTTTTTATATTTAACCGTGTTACAAAGCTGGTGATGGCAAGCTCCATGTCTGCAAAGCTGTGGATCTGTGCTCCCCAATCCTCTTACCGATGTCATTGGCTCACTTGGTCACATTTACATATTAACTCAGCATTGAAGCCAGCCAAAATTGAGAAGGCCCAAAATTCAATGCTATTATTACAATGAGGTGCAAGGACATTTCCTCTTGATGCCCAGGCCTACACCATTCACTCCCTGCTTGCACTCGAGGTCCGATTTAAACAAATTTCTCAAGAGCAATATACTTCATAACTATATGCAAACATAAAAGGTATCAGCTGAAAGCTGCTAATTTCCTGATTCTACTCCTCCACTGTTATGCTATTTGGTAGACGAAGCACTTCAGTGATACCCGCAAGGCCACTGGCGAAGTGCAGCCTTCCCACTGACACCTGGGAATCACTGGCCCAAGACCATCCAAAGTGGAGGAGGAGCATCCGGGAAGGTGTCGAATACCTTGAGACTGACCTTCAGGAAAAAGCGGAAGCTGGGCACAAACAGTGTAAGGAGTGCATTGCCGTACCAACGCCCCCACCCACCCCTTCCTGCGACCGCCTTCTGCCCCAAGTCCAACAGAGCCTTCAGTAGCCGCATCAGTCTGTACAGACTCACCCTGAGAGAGTCATCCTCGTCTGTGAGACACCACCAATGAATTAAAAAAAAGAACAAATTTTACAGAGAGTGATTTACCTTAATAAAGAGAACATCAGGTGAATATTTGAATGGTAGAAAAATGCAACATTTTCAGTCTGACAAATAGTTAGAAATTGAGCTGGGAATACAGTCAGAGGGTTCAGGAGTTCCCAGAGAATATGACAATCGTATTGATTCAGTGATATGTTCAACAATAACATTTACAACTAGGTAGGAGAGTATTGCATTCAATTTTCCTTCCCTCTTCATGAGGAAACATTTTCTACTCAACTTGTTGAGTGACGTTATTATACACCTCTAAAGCAGGTGGGACTTAAACCCAGACCTCATGACTCAGAGGTAAGGACACTACCACTGCACTACAAGAGCTTTTTCTCTGTCAGGAGCGTTGGTGTTAGGAAGTATATAATCTAGCTATCTGCTTCAAGATTATTTATTTCGAGCAAAGGCATTATTAATTCTCCACATTGGAAAACATTGTGTACACAAAGCAGATGAGTGTTGTGCCTCAAAATCTTCATCACATGCATGTGTTATTTTTATAAAATTGCTAATACTTCTTTGTACCTTTAATTATGAGAGACATGGATACAATGGATAGTTGGAATCCCTTTCCCAAGGTAGAAATGTCAATTACTAAGGGGCATAAGTTTAAGATAAAAGGGGGAAAATTGTAAAATAAATGAGGCACATTTTTCACACAGAGGGTGGTAATTACTTGGAATGCACTTCCAGAGGAGGTGGTAGAAGCAGGCACAATAGCAACATTTAAGAGGCATCTTGATAGATGTATGAATAAGTGGAGAATAGAGGGATACGGACCATGTAGAGGCAATAGGTTTTTAGCTTACAAAGGCTCCATGTGTCAGTGCAGGCTTCAGTGGGCTGAAGGGCCTGTCTCTGTGCTGTACTGTTCTTGGTTCTTTGTACCTGCATTTATACATCAATTTCAGTATTGCTGAAAAAAGATACTTGAGTATCATGGGGAGGCGATGGCCTAGTGGTATTATTGCTGGACTGTTAATCCAGAGACCCAGACAATGTTCTGAGGAAGGGTCACCAGACCCCGAAACATTAACTCTGTTTTTGCCTTCACAGATGCTGCCAGACCTGCTGGGCTTTTCCAGCAACTTTGTTAATGTTCTGGGGACGTGGGTTTGAATTCTGCCACGGCAGATGGTGGAATTTAAATTCAATTTTTAAAAAATCTGCAATTAAAAATCGAATGATGACCATGAATTCATTGCCAATTGTTGGAAAACCCATCTGGTTCATTAATGTCCTTCAGGGAAGGAAACTGCCATCCTTACCTGGTCTGGCCTACATGTGACTCCAGACCCGCAGCAATGTGGTTGACTGTTAACCGCTCTCTGGGAAATTAGGAATGGGCAATAAATACTGCCTGGTCAGTGACACCCTCATCCCATTATGAATAAAAGAAAAACTTGAATAGTTTTCTTGATCAATACTTAAGATCTGTACTCCCAAGCAACAAGACAATCTGTCGAACTAAATCTTCTTTGTTTTTTGTTTTCAGAATGTTGTCAGAAAGAACACAAGCAGACAAGCAGGATAAAAATTGAATGACATAGCTTGCATTGGACACTAAGATGCAAATTAAGTCAACAGTAAAATATGAGGCCAGATGAAAGCAACATTTATACAAAAACATCTCAACTATCAAAACTTTTAATGTTAAAAATCAACCTTCCTTATGTGCAAGTAATATCAAGATTATTTTTAAATTCACTGTTGCTCCTTATAATATATATAGTATGATGTATTTAATTTTACATATAAAATTATATTATGATTTTTCTAAAAAAAAGTTGCTAAAACCTGAAATGAAATCTGTAGAAGCAACTTATTTTACCAGATGAAGCAACAACTGGCTTCAAAACAAATCTCTTTTCCATATTTGCTTTGGGACGTGAAGTCATCTCGTCCCCCAAAAAATGTGTTTGTTTTATAACTAGGATAATAAATTTCAGAATCTGTTAGCACATGTCACAAACCTTCTACAAATCTTGTAATAGCCTGGATGAGGTTGTGCACACCGCTGGGGATGTTCCATGGATCTCTCTGCACATGAGTCCGTAGCTGTGCTGTACAATTGACCTCCGATTCCATTTCGTTCTTGAATTCTGTCCAACAATGAAAGGTTCAGAACGGTTATACATTTTTTATTAGTGGAAATTTTTGGATTATATCACATCACTTTGTAATGCAGCTGTAAGCCACACTGTTCTTATTACTGATAATGACATCATGTTCTCTTCTCCTCAGATTTTCACAATCTTATTACTTTGCAAGCCAATTAAATGTCCAGGAGCAAATAAGGGAAAGGAATTAGATATCCATCTATATATCTACTCCCTACCATTTTTAACTTTTGTTAATTCTTTCATTTCATTACAGTGATATATTATATTAATATATAGGTGCCGGCTGTGGTTCAGTGATAATAATCTTGTCTTTGGATCAGAATAATGTGTGTTCAAGACAGCCAAGATTTGAGCACATGATTCTCGCTGTCAATGTAGTTAAGGAATACAGTGTGAGAGTAGGAAAGTGTTGCTGCATTAGTGAGGCCACATCTCAAGTAGTGCATGCAATCTTGGTCTCCTTACTTGAAGAGGGACATAGTTGTATTGGATGCAGTTCAATGGAGGTTCACTTGATTGGTTCCAAAGATGAGGGGTTTGTCTCATGAAGTGAGATTGAGCATCTTAAGCTTATACAGTCTGTTGTTTAGAAGAATGAGAGGCGATCTAATTGAGGCACATAAGATGCTAAAGGGGATTGACAAAGTAGACGCAGAGAGGATGTTTCCTGATCTGGGGGCAATCTAGAATGAAAGGTTACAGTTTTAGAGTAGAGTAAGGGAGAGGAGATTTAAAGCAGAGATGCCGAGAAATTCCTCCCTCACAGGGTCATGAATCTGTTGAATTCACTGTTTCAGACTGCGGTGGAAGTTGGGACATTAGGTAAATTTAAGGAGGAGATAGACAGGTTGTTAATGAGTAATGGGTTGAAGGGTTGTGGATAGAGGGCAGGAAAGTGGAGTTGAGGCCGCGATGAGATCAGCCATGATCGTATCAAATGATGAGCTGAAAGGCCTACTCCTACCCCTAGTTCTTATGTTCTTCTGCTGTGCTGAGGAAGAGCTGTTTTTCAGTTGAAACATTAAACTGAGGCACAGCTGCTGAGCCAAAGCCAAGATGGATTTTTAATCTGGAAGGGAATCAGAGATATTTTTGTTTTATTCACATGTAGGATATAGACGTCACTGGCTGGGCCAGCCTTTATTGTCTACACCTGGGAATTAGGCAGGGAAGTGAAGCTGAGGACAATCGGATCTGCCTTGATCACATGGAATGGCACAGCAGACTCAATTGACCAAATGTCCTACTTCTGCTCCTTGTGTTTCGGGCTCACACCATTGAAGTTCCATATCCCTTGCACCATTCCCATGATTGTTTACTGCACGCTCTCTAAAGTCTTCACATTTTCCTTTAGCATAGATATAATACATCAGGTGAGCGCAAACCACTATCCTTAAAAAGTTTAGCATGACTTGCTTCTTTTCTACTGTATACCCTAATTAATAAAGCTTAGCTCACAAACAAACAAAGAGACTCAGAAAACTGAAAGAACTGCAGATGCTGTAAACCAGGAACAAAAACACAAGTTGCTGGAAAAGCTCAGAACTGAAGAAGGGTCACCGGACCAGAAACGTTAACTCTGGTATTTTTCTTCACAGATGCTGCCAGACCTGCTGAGATTTTCCAAAGGAACTCAGAAGATTGGCAGCATCTGCGGATATTTCAAGACCAGTATAATTCTTCTTCAGAACCCACCATCAGAGGGAGTTAGAACTTTATCAATGAAGTTCTGAAGAAACATCACAATGAGCTTGAAATGTTACTATGTTTCACTCTTCACAGAACAGCTAAGTTTTCCATTATTTTCTGTTTGTATTTCAGATTTCCTCATCCACTTCTACTTTAATGAAGTTTAGGATTCTACATACTTAATAATTAATCTCTCCTACCACCTTCAATGATTTCTGTGAATACACATCCAGTCCAGCAGGTCACAAGAAGCTTATTTGCATGTATGAGAGTCTTATTAAAACCACAACATGCATAAATTAAGTTCACCATCCCAATTAGCTTCTACCCAATTGAGATACTCAATGCTTCAGAGACTTGACTGCATATAGCAGCTGTATATCAAGCAGATTGAAGTTCTTCCTAGACTTCGGGGTAATTATAATGTCATTACCAAGGACTGTAGCAATTCAAGAAAGCAGTTCACCAACTCTTTCTCCAGGGAGTTTAGGGATGGGCAAAATATGCTGGCCCAGTCAGTTGTCCCCACACCCCCTGAACAAATAAAATTAGATGTCTCTAAGTGTCTGCCAGAAAGGAGTACAAATAGAAGTAAGCTTTTTAACTATCGGATAAACTGTATTTTTCCTAAAAGTTGATTTCTCTAATCATTCATCGTAATTTATTCCTCTGATAGTACCGCTGAGTTTTGTTGTTGTTGTCATAAAAACTTGTTGGTGTGTCATTGATCTGAAGTGACCGGTGAAAATTAGTGGATAAACACGTCACCCAAATCCAGTAGAAGATAACCAGAAGATCAATATCAGAAGATCAACTGAACTTGTACAACTCAGAGTAATTACTGCCAATCAGTTTTGTAACTAAGGGTTCAGACTGCCATCTAGTGCATTGAATGCAATGGTATTCAAAAGCCACGGTTATCAAAGTAACATTAAGAATCCTAAAAAATCATCTTCACAAAATTAATTTTATCACAGTGACATTTGAGGGTCAAACACATCATAAGGGTACATAGCACAACATTAAAATTGATATTCAGTCGAAATTGTTCAACAAAAGGTCACTTATTACTTTCTGATATTTCGTTTGAAAAAAAATCACATTCTTTGTTAGTCTTAAATATTTTGCACGAAATAATTTCCCTATCTCAGGTCCGTGTATTGACATTTGAAGTATATTCCAATCAGATTTGCATTCAGCTATTAGTTTAATTCATTTATGGTTTCAGAAGTGATTAAATTCTAATTCTTCTCCATTATACTGCGCAAACCAGCAAACGGTGAATATTGTAACCTTCAGAGAACAGGATGTAAAATTGTGCCACATTTAATACTGCCAAGCGTGGTTGAGGTTCCCAGTAGGTCACTCTGCACAATTCAAAGGTTACTGTCAGTGTTAGTCACTTAGAGACAGGGAGACAGGGAGACGGGGAATAAACTCCTTGCAGGAAATGGACTGCTGTAAAGGTAGCAGAGGTCATTGGCTGCGTACTTGGCACCTGGAAGAAGACCCAAGAGCTATTTGTTAGCTCCATGCAGTGGAGCAGCCAGAGGTGCAGCTAGGATCATGGAAACATAGAAACAGGAGAAGACTATTTTGCTCAGCGAGCCTGCTCCACCATTCTGGCTGTCTCCTCAATGCCACTTTCCCGCAGTATCTCCATTATTTTAATGTCATTGGAGTCATAGAGTCATACAGCATGGAAACAGACCCTTTGGTCCAACTCATCCATGCTGACCATGTATCCGAAACTTAACTAGTCACATTTGCCTGTGTTTGTTCCATAACCCTCTTTCCTATCCATGGACCTGTCCAAATGTTTTTAAAATGTTGTAATTGTACCTGTCTCCATCACTTCCTCTGGCAGCTCATTCCATACATGCCTCTGTGTGAAAAAGTTGCCCCACATGTTAAATCTCTCCCCTCTCACCTTAAACCTATGTGTTTCATTTTTGAACTGCCCTACCCCTGGAAAAAGGCATTGGCTATTCACCTTATCTACGTCCCTCATGATTTTATAAACATCTTTAAGGTAACACCTTAGCCTCCGATGCTCCATGGAAAAGAATCCCAGCCTATCCAGCCTCTCCTTATAAATGAAACCTTTCAATCTTGGTAACATCCTTGTAAATCTTTTTTGCACCTTTTCCAGTTTAACACCATCCTTGCTATAGCAAGGCAACCAGAACTGTACTCAATATTCTAAAAGTGGCTTCACCAATGTCCTCTACAGCTATAACATGACATGACATCCCAACTCCTATAATCCGACCAAGTGTACCTTATGCCTTCTTCACTATCCGATCCACCGGCATCTCCACTTTCACGGATATGCTGGGCCAAAAACATTCAGGCACACCTGCCTTGGGAGCTGAAAGCCAGGCCTGAGTACCGGGGCAGAAGGAACATACGCTCTGATTTATCAAGTGGAAGTGGCACTGTGAACAAACTGGGTCAGAGTGACTCCAAGTCTGTGTGAAATAGTATGTGCCAGTTGCTGAGAAATGGGTTTTACGTCGACAACATTGTATAATGTGGAAGTTGGTATCTGATGTGCGTTGGCACCATGGAAGCAGAACATTTCTTTATTACCCCCATGATCGTGTTACTTATTCACGTGCTATCGCACAAAGATGGAGCTGAGATTTAAACAGCAGCAGATGGACTCTCGTCCTTTATAAATATTACAGGTTGCTGACAGACTTAGATGTGTTTGGCAGACAAAATGCAGGACCCTTGTGTTAATTAATTGCATGGAAGTTATTGGCAAGCAACAGCTAGCTTTGGTCATCAAAAGAATGCCATACATCAAACAGACCACAAGCTGTGGTCTTTTCATAAGAAGAAAATGTACTTGCAAGACTCCAGAATTGCACAGATATCCAGCCTACTGGGGAAATCAGATAAGGACACCAAGTAGACATTTACAGTACAGGAAGAGGCCTTTCGGGTCATTATGTTTCAACAAAGATCTGACTGCATTAATACCATTTACCAGTTAGAGCAACACAAGTGAACGCAGTTCAGGCAGTGAGTTTCAGACTCTGTGTAAACAAAATTTCTCAACTCTCCTCCTAACCTTCCCCCTCTTGCTTTAAATCTTTCCACCCTTGTTACTGACCCTCTACTGATGGAAAAAGTGCCTTCCTATCTATCTTATCAGTGAACCTCATTATTTTATACACCTCCAGAAAGTCCCCTCACAATCTTCCCTGCTGCAAGGAAAACAACCCCAACCTATCCAATCGTCCCTTATTTTACAGACCTTCCAGCCCAGACAGCATGTTAAA